TGGGCCAATCAAATCACTTCCCTGGCAATTTTCACTTGGCATTGAGAAAGAGTGCTGGCATACATCAAGCTGGGGAGTTGTTGGTGGACACATTCCACTGCAGGAACTAAGCCCAGGGTAAGCTGTTCTGCTGCTGTGAAGCTGACCTTTAGAGAGGAGGATAGACAAGATGTGGGAGAATAGTCTTGAGGGTGTTCAACTGTGGGTTCCAGTTCTTCCAAGAGGCCTACAGCTGCCTAGCCCACTGATCCTGCAAGGCACCTCTCTTTCCTCATAAACATTCTACTTTTCACTAACTCAAATGAATGGGAGGAACAGAGACACAACTTGAACAAATATGCTCTGTTTTTTTGGTCCTTATAATGACCCTATGAGATGAATGCCTGGGAAACAACCAGACCTCAACAAATGGCAACTATTATTACTTATAATAATGACTCCTGCATCTCCAGTCCTACATAACCTTACACCCAGCTTTTGGTAGTTTCACTATGAATGTCCCAAACACCTCAAACTCAATAAAACTGACCTTCCCATCTAAGACATCTCAACCTTTCTCTGTAAATGATCACTGCATATCTAGCACTTGGTTCAGAAACCTGGGAGCATCCTTGACTCCTTCGCATGCTCTGCAGCCAATCAGTGAACAGGTTTGGTGAATTTTCCCTCAGAAACCTTTCTCATGTCCATCAGTTTCTTTTCACATCACTACCATCCTAGTCCCTCCCCTATCAGTGCTCACCCAAATTACAACAATTATGTCCAACAAATCTCCTAACCATTGCTTTTTTCCTCTCCAGTCTGGTGGTTTTAAAAGCTCTCTGCTAAGGCAGGGGAATCCTTTGTTCACATGAAATCTTATGTGGAACTCCAATATATAAAGCACACAAAATGAAGCTATTTTGGTTCAAAAGAGGGGACTGGAGACTACTTGAGCCCCTCCCAACCAACCTCCCCCTCCACACCCTGTCCCCACCCATCCCAATGCCCAGAAGATGACATGCGAGCAAAGAGGTGAAGGAGGAGAAGAGTTCAGCCCCAAAGACATTTGAGAGAAGAGCACTCCAGATGGAGAAAACATTCAGTACACAGACTGTAAGGAGGTGGGGCATGTGTGAGGAGCAGCTGGGGGACCAGTGCTGATGGAGCCCACTGAGCGTGGTAGAACAGCAGGCAAGGAATGACATGGCCTGATCATATAGGGCCTTGGCCATTGGGAGAACTTTGATGTTTACTCTGAGTGAGATGGGAGTGAAAGGCTCTGGGCACAGGAGTTACCTGGTTGACTTGTATCCTGAAAGTATCACTTAGATCACTGTATGGAAAATAGACTGTGTGAAGGTGAGAATGGGAGAAGAGAGATCTGGGATGAGTCTGTTGCAGTAATTACATTAGAGATGACCAGGGTGGTGGCAGAGGAGGTAGTGAGAAGGGATCAGATTCCAGATGTATTTTATTTTGGAAGTAAATACAACAGTATTGCTTAGAGGATTGCATGTGTCAAGAAAGATGCCACCTTTTTTTTTGCCTGAATATCTAGAAGGCTGAATTCTCATCAGCTGAGATGAAGAAGGCTGAAGGTTATTAGGCACACATGTCTAATGGTCACACAGATACAGAATTCCTCATAGGTGAACTTTGCATAATACTTTATTGACACCATTTCAGATATTCTTTGCATAAAAATTTCATACCCAATTATATGGTTTCAAAAATCAGATCAATAAGGGAAAGATTATTCACTTTTCAGAAAAGCTTAGACTTGGGACTGATTTCAGTAGCAAAAAGAGTAAACCCTCAAAGCATATATAAAACATGAATCAATTTAACATAAATTTTTAGAAACACATTTGTTATATAAAAGTCAGCCAGGAAAGTTAAGATGAAGCTAAGCAATATGCCAGTGGCCCTTATTGCTTTAGTACACAGTGACTTTGATAGGCACTATCAGGATGCTCTCCTATTCTGGAATGCTCTATTCTTGTACTCAATACAATGATGAGCACACACACGGTTAGTTTCCATGCAGCAGAGAAGAACCTTCTCAGGGATTTAGGTGGAGAGGGCACACACGGCTCAGGTGACTAGAGCGGGACAATGCATACTTTGGAAATGTTGAATCTACAGATATTCATGTTTTAAAACAGCTATGAAATAATATATGTTTATAGTATCACATAGCTAATATCTAACACATAAGCACAGCAGATACTCCATGAGAATAACTAAATGAGTGGATATTGCTATAAGAGGTACATGCGAAGAGGGTTGTCATAGTCTACACTGATCTTATCTGCTTTCCATAGTGAGCTACAGCCTTCAGTGGTTTTTAGATAGGACTACTGACCACAGTGTTTCAATTTCCCTGCTGAGCTGGCATAATTATGTATCCTTCTCTGCTTCTCTCTCTAACTGTGCCTACTGAGAATGCTTTCAGTAGCAAGCTACAGAAATACCTAACTATAGCAACTTAATTTGGAGGTGACCAGCCCAGGGATTGTGCAACAATTCAGGTGCCTTGAAGGATCTGGGCTCATACCGTTTGGTTCTTCCATTCTTAGCAGGCTGGATTCCATCCTTGAGCTTATCACCTCATATTTTTGAGGTAACAGATGTATTTCCATAAATTCCAAGCTTAATTCAAGCAGGAAGGGAAAAGAAAGTAAAGAAAATGAACCATATCCATTTCCTTTTATTAGAAAAGAAAGTTTTCCTAGAAACTTTGAAGCAGACTTCCTTTTAGGTCTCATTAACCATAATTGTCACATGAGTGGCTTTCTAAAAGGAGCTTGGGCAAAAGACTGTGTTATGCAGATCCTATTGCTGCTCCAAAAAAACTAGGTTTCTGTTAAAATGAGGGAAATAGGTAGGCAACTACCAGATTTGGTATACCAACCAAACTAAAATCCATGGCCATTGGGTTCATGTTTTCTACTCTGGTCTTTACTGAAGACCCCCACGTGCCATAGAAGAGAACTAACACTTCCCAGTGGGTGGATTCCAGTGGCAGTAGTTATAGGGAGTCTGTCCAAATCTGGGAAATGTGTCCCATTGATCTCTGGCACTTTCACTAATAACCAGACCTTCACCTTGAGATGAAACTACTGTTGCTTCTGCCAAAAAATGCTGCGGGGCTCGTTAAGGGTTCTCTTTAGCTGTCAAGACTCATCATCAAACTATCCTTGACAAGTTTTAATTTTAGTTTAAGTAATTGGCCTGACATGAATCAGACTGACAGCCAGCTTTCAGAACAGTTTCTAATAGCCTGTAATATCCACGCTACCAAGGGGATTCAAGATGACATCTCCGAAGATAAATATTACAGGATGTAGGTGCTAATAGTGAGGGCTAATTTAAGGTCTTATTTCATGTATATTTCCTGCTTAAAGGAAGGAAATAGGGAGCTCTGGAGAGAAGTAACAGGCTTCTGGGGAAAGTAATTTCCAGTAGTAATTCAGGATTACATCAGGATTTTAACTTCAGGAAGTTTCTGTTCAGCCCAGGAATAAGGCTGAATAAGAGAAATAGAAATATCTAAACTTCTAGGGAGAAACTCACAGAGTAATTAGAGGAAAAAGGCTGAATTAAGAAGTAGTATATCATATTATTAAAAGGACAGCTTTGAAGTAAGATGGGTCTGGATTCAGAGTCCAGCCCTGACACTAGTTTGAGAGCTTGGGCACTTTATTTAACTTCTTATACTTGGTTTTCTAATCTGCAAATGGGAGGCAATAATGGATACCTTTATGGAATTGAGGCAAGAGTTAACATGAGGTAGTGAATGTAAAGCACATAGCCCGAGCCTGGCAAATATAATAGGATGTATTAAAGATGGTTGTTTGGCAGAGTAAGTTGGCATGTGGGTCAGGGTTCAAGCCCCCTCCCCCCGACCTATGGTGACCACTGCATGTTTTGAATGCATAGGGGATTTTGTTTCATAACTGGGAGGCTGGATGGAGATTGTCATTGGTGTTGGAACAGGCTGACAAGGATAAGTGAGGAGCTGCATCCCATACAGTAGGACAGCTCCTGGCCAGGTGCACATACCATGGCTAGAGGGGTAAGGACCAGAGGCCAGAGAAAGTGTGGCAAAAGTCTTTATGACTGGGCCTCAAAGCTGCTCTGCATGTGTCCACACATCCTGGACAGTGGCGTAGGTTAGAAGCAGAATTCTCCCCATGTGGCACAGGTCCCAGCATGTCTAGTGACTTTGTTAGGGAGCAATGTACTTTGCACACGCACTGATGAGCATCTAGCTGTGGGCAGACAGGAAGACAAGCCAATGCTGATGTAGCTGTGCCAGGTTTGGGGATCATGAGACTGTTTTTAGGGGGACTCTTCGATATGCCTGGAGGTGATATCAGAAGGCCTCATGTTTCTGGAAGCCCATGTTCATCACATTAGCTGGTGGCATGAATTTTAATGTAACTGGTACCTTCATTCTTATCTGCAGGCTAGTGCAGCCAAACGACACTGTGGCTGTGCTTCACACTGACCAAGTGTAATTAAGTATCGGAATGAGAGAGTGCTATGTCTTCAGATGAGAAAAGCTTCATAAATTATATACCATAGTGTCTGGAATATAGTAGGTGCTCAACAAGTGCCATTCATTCTTTAAGATTAAATTTCAACTTTTAGTGAAGATAAAGAATGTTATGTCCTAGAAAGCTCAGGCAAATGTTTATTCACATACCTGTTCATTCAACAAGAACTCATTTGGTGCTTATGTATATATGTGTGTGTGCATGTGTATACATATATGCATAATACACGTGATACACATGGTTGAACAGCATGACCTCTGCACTGGGGATCCCCAGCTCCTGATGGATGATGCCTGTATGTGCCTTAATAGGTATAACGCCAAGCAGAGGCTGCTGACCAGTGCACCAGAGGGACAAAGAAGCATGATAAAAGCATAAGTAAGGGTCTGGAATGGCTTTGTGGGGAGAAGGCAAATGAACTGAGTCTCAAAGAGCTCCACCTCCACACATCAGAGAAAACAGCAAGAACATGCATGGTAATGACAAGGGACCATAAACAGTTCACTTTGACTGAAGCCTCATTGGTCAGAAAGGAGAACAGTAGGGACACTTGCGAGTGTGGCTGGCCAATGTTCACTTATAGAAGGCCTCTAACATGATCCTTGGAAGGGCAGGAAATGAAGGGGCTCTGTTGAGATTTTTGGAGTGGCCAGTGGCACATTTTGGGGAGTGAGGCCTGCAGGGCTCCTGGACTCTATAAACAGAAAGGCTCTGTTTACAGGAATGCTAATTTACCTTTGCAAGGACTTGGACATAAGCTGCTTTTTGTCCCCAGAAGCAGGGGTTGCTGGTGCCCTGGCACATAGGATTTGTGGCTTTTTTTCTCTTTTAAAGAACAGAGTTTCACGTTTCCTTGTTTGTTACCCCAACCCCACCCCGTCCCCACTGCCCCCACCGCCCCCACCACAGTCATCTCCTAATTACCTTTGCATATTGTGAAAATGTCACTTGGTGGGGAAAGGAAGTGTTCTTCCATAAAATGCCAGGAACTGCCCACCCAACCTTCTCCGACTCCTATTTTTATGAGGTGCACAGGGCACAGACAGCAGAAAGAATGCCACCTGTGCAGGAACTTTGCAGCACAGATTTGCCCCTGCCTGAGCAGTCAGTGGGGAACATGCATGTCTCCTCCTTTCCACCAAGATTTTCTTTCCAATGAAGTGCATGACCAGTATCCAAAAGGGAGCCTCTCAATGAAGAACAACTTAATGGGAGATGGTGGCTAATCAATCAGCCAAGGACTGTCCCTCCTAGTGGCCTTGTAAGCCCAAATTGCCCACCTACCCTCTCAGAGCAATAACAGCACCGTTAGCCTTCCTCTCCCTCCATCTCCTTCACTTGAACCAAAGTTGACATCATAAGGCAAGTCATGAACCAATGATTTGGTTCATGATTTTTTTCATTTCCTCTTTGCTCTTAACTTGGAACTGCCAGGCACTCCTCCCCTTCCTCCAAGGGCCCATGTTCCTGTGACAGCTCTCCCAGACCAAGATAAGATGCAGTGACCATGGGCCTACCTTGAGAAATGAGATTGTCCATGACTGCCCCATGGCTGAGTGGTGATGATGGAGAGAGCAATGCAGGGGAGGGATGGAGGTCCAAGAGGAGTGGAGAAACTCAGAAGTGGCACCATGACCCTGTTTGTGGAGTCTGCCCAGCGCTGGGTGCAAATCACAAATGGCCACAGATGGTCCTTTCATGGGGCATGCCTAGAGAGAGTCCCCTAGTGATAATTAGGTTCCTGCTGTAGCTGCTAAAGCCCATTTACCAACCATTACTGAGGAACTGCTCTGCTTCAATTACCTCTCCTCAGCACCAATAAAGCATATATTGGCAGCTCTGAGCTTGGGCACACACTTTCTTTCATGGAGTAGCTCCAACTTCCATCCACAGTGATTTTATTATGGCAAAATATTTTACTTCTGATTAACCTGAAACAGTTTTTAAGTCTCTCTTTGCACTGAGCTATCTGGGAAAATCAATGAATGGGTAGGTGGGCCCTTTGGGGCAACAAATACAGGCATGTGGTGGGGACTTGAGCTAAAGTTCTTTAAATACATATCCCAAAATTTAAATTATTTCTCACTCAGTCCTCCTATTAGAAAAAATTTAACTGTTCCCTTGCTGACAAAATGTAAGTGGGAGGGAGATATTGTCTGTGGTCCACCCATATTCCCTTGAGTCTTAACATTATAGTACAGACTTCCAGCTGCCTGAAGGATTTCTCTGGGGGTCAGAGTTTACTCTTCTTGCACTTTGTAAGATGTGATGAGTGAAATAATTCCCCCCAAGTAAAAAGCTCACAGTAGAAGGCTGGCTTGAGTTGGTATATAATTGCCCTTGTCCCATTTTCCCTCAGTGAGATAACTGAGGGTGGTCTACACTGGCTCTCCAAGTTCCCCAGAAGGATAATGCTCTAATTGCCCACAGTGGTAATTAGCTCAATAACTCACCTGTTATTAGTTACTTCTTGCTCTGTCTCACTCTTCTATTCTCCTACTTACGTTTCCTGGGATCACCTTCCAAATAAATTTCTTACTCTTGAATCCTTGTCTCAGGATTTGTTTCTGGAAGAAGCAGAGAGAAAAATGCCATCAAGATGATCAAAATATCTAGTTCGGGTCTTGTTGCAGTATGAAGGTGCAGGATTGAGGATAAAATTTCTGAATTCCAGGGTAATGCTTTACATTCAGCATGTAATAGACAGTTCTTGATAGAAAATAATTCAAATGCTGGCCTTAAGGTTCAGCAAATTATATGTAAGGTCTTCCTAAGACCCCTTATGAAATTTACATTATGATTTGGGGAGCTCTTTGGCCTGAAGACATTTAACCATTTTACTCTACTCAATGTGTTGAAAGGGATGAATTCCTTGCAATTGATTGGATCTGATCATTAAAATGACCAGAGCAGACCCGATGTAATGGGAAGTCATATATCTTGACAGCCAACAGATTGACTGGGTGGAGACCAGTTATTAAAAATTAGCCATTTGTTCTTCTTTTTTTTGTAACCTAGGCATTAAGGCTCTACTGTGTGCACTGCACTGCGTGGATTATGGAGGAGGAGAAGGAAAGGAGAGATAAAAGGACCCTCCTTCAAAAGGCTGATGGTTTTCTGGGGAACAAAAGAGAAAACTGATAATCAGAAGACCTGAGGTCTTACACCTTGTTTCACTGTATGGCAAGTTACTTTTCCCTTCTGGTCACAATTTTCCTCATGAAAAATGAAAATAGAGAAACAGTTTATCTCCAATTGCTCTTCCAACTCTGTATTCTCTAATTCTTGCTTTCCAATCCCTGTATTTCTCAGCAATATTTTGTATATTTTGTTCTTCAGAGATGAAGTCTGGCATTAAGTTAATAAGGTAGTAAAAGAAATGTTTTTATATTTGTAGTCTTTGATGCAACCACTGTAATTAACATGTTCAAAGTTTATATAGTTTTAAACATAGCTAACATAGTATTAAATATTATCACCTATCACAGATAATTTCATCAAAGTCTGCTGATGGACATTTAGGTTTCTCCTATTATTCACTAGAAATTATGTAATAAACATCTTATTGGACATATTTTTTGCACTTGGTAAAAGTATTTCTATAGGGTAAAGTAGTTGTGTATAGGAATCATGAGGCAAAGGATATGAACTGCAATAATGTTAATAGATTCCATCTAGTGCAATTCTTAGTTACCACATCTTTTAAAAAATTGTAATCTTCCAGGTTTATTGAGATAATTGACAAATAACATTGTGTAAGTTTAAGGTATACAAAGTGATGATTTAATATATGTATACATTGTGAAATAATTACAATAATTAGTTACAATATCCTCATCTACTCTGATATAAAGAAGGTAAGACATAATCTGATATGTGAAAATGACATTGTATTGTCTTAATTTTATGTCTTTAAATATGAGTGATATTCACCATGATTGTTTTATGTTAATTGCCTATTTTATTTTCTTTCTTCTGTAAATTCCTTTCCTTTTCTATGTGTAAACACAATTGTGTATTACCTTCTATGTGTTTCAGGGGTTACGTATATTTTATATTTATCTTTTGTTTTTCAGTTTAATTTTGGTTTCTTCTACTCAGGAATGAAAAATCTTAACATCAAGTTGGTCAGTATTTTCCTTCATTACTTTTATTTTTCAGGTCACAAAACTGATATCTTTTTCTAAGGCAATAAATATATTCACTTCTGTTTTGTCCCAGTGCTTTAAAACATTTTCAACGTTATTGAGGCATAATTGACATATAAAATAGTAAGATATTTAAAGTGTACATCATGGTGATTTGATATATATATATATATTTATACATCATGAATGGATTCTCAAGTTAATTAACACGTCCATCACCTCACATATTTATCTTTTTTTTTCTTTTTTGGTGAGGACATTTAAGTTCTACTCTCTTAGCAGATTTCAGTTATATAATACTCTGTTTCTGCTATAGTCACCATGTTTTACATTATATCCTCAGACCTTATTCATCTTACAGCTGAAAGACTGGATGCTTTTACCAACTTCTCTCTATTTCACCTACTCCCCAACCTCTGGCAACCACTTTTCTACTCTGTCTCTATGAGTTTGACTTTTTAAAGATTCATCATATAAGTGATACTGTGCAGTATTTGCTTTCTCTGCATGCTTATTTTACTTAGTGTAATGTCCTCAACGTCCATCCATGTTGTCCCAAATGACACTATTTCCTTCTTTCTCTGGCTAAATATTATTCCATTCCTTTATCTGTTGAAGGACTCCTGGATTGTTTGCATATATTGGCAACTGTGAATAATACTGCAATAAACATGGGAATGTAGATATCTTTTGGATATCCTGTTTTCATTTTCCTTGGATATATGCCCAGAAGTGGGATTGCCTCCACACTGTTCTCCATAGTGGCAGAACAAGTGTTCCCTTTTCTCCACACTCTTGCCAACACTTGTCTTTTTGATGATAAGCATTCTAACAGGTGTGAGGTGGCTTAGATTTGCACTTCCCTGATGACTTTTAGTGATGCTGAGCACCTTTTCATTTACATGTTGGCCATTTGTATGTCTTCTTTGGAAAAATGGCTATTCAGTTTCTCTGTCCATTTCTTAATTGGATTTTTATTTTGCTATTGGATTTTATGAGTTCTTTATATAGTTTGCATATTAACCCTTTATCAGATATGTGATTTGCAAATATTTTCTCCAATTCTGTATGTTGTCTTTTCATTTTGCTTATCACTTTCTTTACTGTGCAGAAGATTTTTAATTTGATGGAGTCCTACTTTTTATTTTTTCTTTTGTTGCTTAATCCAAAAAATCATTGTCAAGACAAGGAGCTTTTCCCTTCTAATTTTTTCTAGGAGTTTTATGGTTTCAGGTCTTATGTTCAAATCTCTAATCCATTTGGAATTGATTTTTGTGTATACTGTAAAGTAATTGTCCAGTTTAATCTTTTTCATATGGTAATCCATTTTTCTTAATGCCACTTGTTAAAGAGACTATTTTTTCTCCATTGTGTTTTCATGGCTTCTTTGTCACAAATTAATTGATCATATATACATGAGCTTATTTCTGGGCCCTCTATTCTCTTCCATTAATCTATGTATCTGTTTTTATGTCAATACCATTCTGTTTTGATTACAATAGTTTTGTAGTATAGCTTGAAGTCAGGCTGTGTGACACTTTTTAGCTTTGTTCTTCTTTCTTGAAGCTGCTTTGGCTATTTTGGGTCTTTTGTGGTTCCTTATGTATTTTGTGTTTTTTTTTATTTCCATGAAAAATGCCATTGGAATTTTGATAGGGATTGCACTGAATCTGTAATTGCTTTTGTTAGTATGGACATTTTAACAATACAATTCTTCTAATTTATGAGCACAGCATATCTTTCCATTTATTTATGTCTTCTTCAATTTCTTTCACTAATTTCTCATGGTTTTCAGTGTACAGATTTTTAAGCTACATGTTTAAATTTATTCATAACTATTTCATTCACTTTGGTGCAATTGCAAATGGGATTATTTTCTTAATTTCTCTTTCTGATAGTTTGTTAATAGTGTATAGAAATGCAACTGACTTTTGTATATTGATTTTGAATCCTACAACTTTACTTATTAGTTCTAACAGTTTTTTTGGTGGCATCTGAAGGGTTTTCTCTATGTAATATCATGTCATCTGCAAATAGAGACAATTTTGCTTCTTCCTTTTCTGATTTGGATTCCTTTTGTTCCTTTTTCTTGCCTAATTGTTTTAGCTAGGACTTTTAGTATTATGTTGAATAAAAATGGTGAGACTGGGAACAGGAAAATCACTTATATCTGTTTCACTAAGGTCTCTTTCTGAAGTTTTACCTTATTATTATTATTATTTTTAACATATCCATCTGTTTTCAATTTCCTTGACACTCTGTATTGGTTTCTGTGCATTCAATGAAACAGCCACCTCTCCCACCGACCCTTGATGGAGAGATCCTGTGTAGGGGATGAAACTTATCATTTAGCCTGACCCAAGGTCTCAGTTGTCTCTCAAACCTTTGTGATTATCCAGTCTGTCTTCTGTGCTCCTAGTGGCCCCAGAAACTGGGGATATGCCAAGACCTGCTGTGTCCCAAAGAGGTGATTCTGTTAGCACCTGATTCAGGCTGATTAGAAGTTAGACTCTCAGCCAGAAGCTTCTAAAGTATGCACATATATTTCTTTCAGGGGAAGACTGGAAGACAACTTCTGTCAGCTTGCTCTGCTCTGAGCCCTAGGGAACAGCTGGTTAAGAACTGTTTATTTTTTGCCTCAGTCCTGTGGGACTAGTGAAGGCAAGCCCCGCTGGCCACTAGAAGCATGTGATCAAGGAATGTGTTCTCTGGACAGCAGCCACAAAAGCTGGGGTGCCAGGTGTGCACACAAACTCCTTCCAGGGAGACACCAGTGACCTGAAGCAGGCCAGGCAGAGAATGCACAGATGGCATTCACTGGCCTTCCTGGTCTCTGGGGAGGATCCCAGTCAGCCCCTGTATATGTGCTAAATTAGAAACCTGACACTCAAGTAGCAGCTTTCAAAGTATGCTAATGAGCCATTTTCAGGGAAAGAGTGGAAGATGGGTGTTTCTGCCTTCAACTTCTGTGCTGAGGCCTGAGAGATAACCACAGCTATTTCTCATGAGCCTCCTAAGAAGTGTTTCTTTATTTGGTGGTCTTGTGGTCTCAGAAATGCAAGCCCCATTGGCTTTCAGAGCAAGGTGTTTTGGGGACCTTAAAAAGTGGAAGTTTTAAATTGGGTTGCTAGATGTTGGCCCAAATCTCTGCTCCTCAGGAAGAAGCTGGCAGTTGTGGGTCCCTACCAATTATACCTTACTGTGTAGGGAGTGGAGTTTATGGAAAGACTGTGTCTCAGCCTTTCCTACCTGTTTCGATGTCAGTATTTTCTCATTTGCCCAGTGTGCAGGAGTCACTCAACTAGTGCCTGGATTCAGAGGGAATCACTCCATGTGCAGCTGTAGATTTGGTGGGCCTGTGGGAGGGGAGTTCAGGAGCTCCTGTGTTGCCATGTTGGACAAGAACCTTTTCTCAGGCTTTTATGGTCTCATTTTTTGTATTTAAATCTTTATATCTTTATCTGTTAGGAGTTTATTTTAGAAAAATGAATGAGTCAGGATACATTTATAATTTTTTTCAGAACTACTAATCTGTGGCCCAGCTTTGTTAACTGAACAATCCAGGCTTCTTCAGTGAACTTAAAGTCCACCTCTGTTACACACTGAAATACCAGATCTACTTGGGTTGATTTACATACTCTGTTTTTTGACATTTTGAGTACAATGTGTCTAGGTGTATAATTCTTTGAGTGACTTCTGTGAGCTTACTGAGTTTCATAGCTATGTAGAGAAATAATTTGTCAAATTTGGGAAGTTTTGGTCATTATTTCTTCAAATATTCTTGCTGCTTCTCTCTCTCCTCTCCTTCTGTGACGTCCCATTATGCTTTTGTTCATATGTTTGATATTATTGCCCACGTTTCTGAAGCTCTGTTCATTTTTCATTATTCTTTTTTCTTTCAGTTCGTCAGACTGAATAATTTTAACTAATGTATCTTCAAGTTCACTGATTCTTCTTTCAACTAAAATTTGCTATTGAGTCCTTTCAGTGATTTAAAAAATAATTATATTTTTTCATCTCCTCAGTTTCTATTCAGTTCTTTTTAATATTTTATGTTTCTTTTTTAATATTCTCTGGTGATCATCATTCACATACTTTCTTTTAATTCAGGAGGTCTAGCTTCTTTTGGTTCTTTGAAAATACTTATAAAAGCTGAATTTAAATGAGGAATTATAATATATGGATTCCCTTAAAAATAGTTTGTTTGACTGCTTGTGTTTGTGTATGTGTGTCATACTTCCTGTTACTTTGCATCTCTCATAATTTTTTGCTGAAAACTCTACTTGTAAAATAATATAACTTTTCAACTCTGTGAATCAGACTCTCCCTCTCTTCAGGGTTTATCATTTTTGTTGTCTAGGGACTTTCCTGAACTAATTCTGTAAAATCTGTGTTACATGTTGGATGCAAGCATTGACATCTCTGTTTGGTTAGCTTAGAGGTCAGCTAATGATTGGGCAAACTTTTCCTTAAATGTCTTAAACTAATAAGTCTTCTACACTTTGCCAAAGGGCTCTCTCTCTCTTAGTTGGGACATGCCTTCAATGTTCTGGAAGTTTACAACTCCACCTCAGCTGTCACTTCCTGCTTGTGTAAGGCCTCAGAGTAGCCATATGAGAGAGATTGGGCCCTTCAGGCCTTTCTTGGGCATGCCAGAGACTCACATGTAAATGGCCTGCTAGATCTGTAGGAATATGGGGATCTCCTTTTTAAAACTCCTAGGAATAGCTCTTTTTCAAATCTCCTTTTTAAATTTTTTGGCCAGCCTCTTATTTCCCAACTAGTATCACTTCTTCAGACAACTGTGAGGTTCAACAATTGTCACTTACTGTTTTTGACAAATGCCCTGGTGTAGGACTTTTCCCACTGAGGGATTTATGAGCCAGGTGAAATAATGATGAGTGCTGTGAATAGTGCTTTTCCAAGGGCTGACAGATGGAGTAGTGAGAGTTTGCTGGGGGTGGGGCTCTCTGATGCTGTCCAAACCCCAAACCCATATTATCTCCTGCTGGTTTTAGCAGCTACCATGGTTGTGAGTCTTCTGGTTTTCAAGCCCATTGTGGGTCTGAGGTGGGGATGGGAATAGGAAAGCACCACGAAGCTTACTGTCCTTACAAACATGCAGCTGTTTTTCTTGATAAATGATCCTAAGATTTTTGCAAGTCTCTGGTTTTTCCAGAGTCCTGAAAAACTTTTGTGCCTTTTTTTTAGTGTCTTCATTGTTTTAATGGAGGAGAAAATTTTTGGAGATCCTTACTGTGACATTTTGGAAGTACCACTCTGAAGTCTATTTTTATACTTTTTAAAATTGTTGTGTCTCTCTTTGAATTATTTTAGTTATAGTGAATTAAAGAACTGATAATAAAATCATCCTGCCATTCCTCTCCCCACCAATATTTTTCTTTTTAAAATATTTTGGACTACTCTTTTTCATTTATTTTTCCAAATTAATTTTAGAATAATGTCTTCAAATTCTAAAATAAATCTTCTGGTATTTGATTGAGACTATTAAAATATGGATAAACATGGGAAGAATTGCTATCTTTGAAATACTAAATCTTCCTTGAAGGAATATGGTGTGGCTATCCATTTATTCAAGTCTTTTGTGCTCTTTAATAGTTTTACTGCTTTCTTTACAAAGAAAAATTTCTTCATGAGTTTATTTCCAAGTACGAATGTGATCACTACCAGTTAAGTCTGCAGCAGTGTATAGTGATTCTGCAGGACCCAGATGTTCTCTTCAGAGGCTTGATTAGTGAATTAAATGAATATAATAATAGAGACCATTCCCTCTGCATTCTTAAGATCTTTAAGGGTGGTAAACATCTATCTTCTCACCTACTCCTGGAATAAGCTAATGTTTTAGAGTCACCGCTTTGGCCAGTGATGGGAGGACAGTTTAAGTGGCTTTCACTCAGTCTTTCCTTTTATGATCTTTCCTATCCCAAATGCCAATGACCCAATGTGGTGTTCGGATTCACTCAGAGGCTAGGCACACTTTGCAGAAGAGCATTCTCTGAGTGGGCTTGCAGCTGGAGGATGACCTTGATAGCACCCCTTGCATCTGGGGCAAAAGGCTCTCTCTTTAAGGGAGCTCTGCATGGTGTATCTTTATTTATCACATAATTTGATCTCATTCATTAAAAACTTTTATGTACATACTTACATATAAATAAATCTATATAATTCTAAATATATATATTTCCAAAAATATATATGAAAATACTATGTTATATAGCATACTAAGCTAGGGAGTGATTAAAACTACCTTTGTCTTTATCTTAGTTTGGATTCCTGCAGAACCAGAGTAACTCAAGGACTTGTGCTGGTATCTTATTTGGGAGGTGAATCTAGGAAGTACAAGTGAGGGACTGGAAGAAGTGACACAGGGAAGGGATAAAAGCCCATAAAAATATGTAAATGAATGAGTTTTGGGAAACCCTCTTGTCACAGACCCTGTAAGAAACTGTATGGAATACACCTAGAGTTGACCACCAGAGGCCAGGGAAATTGAGGCATTTATTCACTTACTTCCATCTCTATTACTTGAGGGTTGTCCCTGGTGTCCTGCCACCTGCAGATCCAGTTTACACTCCCATTTGGTGGAGTAAGCTCTGGTGCTGCTGCGGAAAGTCTTCACCCACAGTGAAGGGGTGCAGAGGCTTCAGGTAGGAGGCTGTTGCCATTTGGGGAACCACAGCTTCAGGTGACCTCAAGTGAACTGAGGGAATTAGAACTATCAACATGCCTGCTATAACACCATAATGGTTCTAGAAAGATTCAAGTCTCTAAATATATTTAGGATGGGAAAATGACTAATGTAACCTTACCAAGCCAGCCTTGGGTAGTGGCATGGATAACCTGGATTGGTGGAGGTCAGTTTCGGATCTAATGCTAGATAGGTATGTGATGTTACCACTCAGAAATATGTGGTGACTTGAGCAGTTTGCCCAGTTATAACATTCTTTTACCTCAGTAATCAAAGAGATGCTTAGTTAGGTGCCAGTCTGTGACCAGAGGGACCCTGGGCTCATCTCTAGTGCTGGGGTTTCTGCCTGTAGGCTTTGGTTCAGACACACGACCAGCATCAAGCCTTTAGGCTCTACTAGTCAAGCATCACTGAAAGACTGCCCTTTAAAGCATGGGTTCCCCTTCCATTTTCTGTTATGATGGACTGAACACAATTAGGGAAGCTTTTTTGATTAGAAAACTCTAAGAGAAATTAAAAGAAAGTCTGCTCTGTAGTGAGCGCTCCTCCTCAGGTGGTTTACTGTAAAAGAGACCCAGTTGCCATAGTGGATTAATCAGGGGAACCAGTGAGAGGACACAGTTTATTCCTCCATGGTAACCTAGCCTACCCTTTTGGCCTAGTTTCAATATCTTAGCTTTAGGTAGGCTTGTTTTAAGCACTTTTCCGGACATCTGAGTGTTCACAGAGTGCTTATACTTGCAAGTGTGCATCACAGTGGCACATTGCCCAGGGAAAAGAACAGCAAGCTTCCAGGAAGGGTGGTCTTAAGAAACCACTCAAGAGCATCTCCAATTTCCCACCTGGTATGTTTCTTTCCAACCTATGGATGGAAACAAGTTCTTCTCATTTCAGGACCCTATCTGCAATCTTTTTTCACAAGGATACAGGTTTGGGTTGATCTAAAGGCAGAGAGGAGACACAATGAGTGTTAGTGATTCTGAAATGTGTTGTGTCTGAATTTGCCCAAGTTTAGGGTTATCTACTGGGGTGAATGCTAACTCTGTGCTTCCACAGAGTTATACATGTCTTGAGTGAGGACTCTTCTGAGATTCTGGGACTCTGAAGTCTTTCCAATATACTGTTTTCTTTTCTGGGAGAGGTCTGGCGAGAATTTGTGTGTGGAGCTCATGACTTATCACCCTTTCTCGGCAAATCAGGAACACCTGCTCCATATGTTTGCTTTCATTAATAACATGTGAACATTTCAGATGCCAAGTTAACCTAATTATGTATGGCAGATAATTTTCTGAATGATAGGCAAATCTTTAGGGACTTTTTTTTTAATTGTGGAGAACACTCAAATTACAGCTGAGAGGCTTTGGTAGGGGGAGGAGGAGGAAGAGAGGTTGCAGTCTGGTGGGCTTCCAGGAAAAATCCTCTAAGAGAGGGAGGAGCTATTGTCCTTTTTATTCAAGGAGCTCATTCGGGCATTCAAGGCTTGGATGAATAGTATGTTATTCAGTAACAAACTGCCACACATCCTTTTCCAGACTTACTTTCCATTTCTTCCCTTTGAATTCTCTTTGCTCTGTCTCTAAATGGCTACCAAATCAGGTATTTGCCAAGTAGGTTCACCTAAATTCTAACTGGAAATAATTGCTAATGGCTACTAGGAACCATATTGAGAAAGATGCTGAAACTTTTTCCCATTTAACAGGAAACATAGTGTGGCCAATTTATGATGTCTACTCAGAATCTGCTGTTTTTTTCACTCTTCTCTGAGACCTCAGACCTCAGTCCTCTTCCTGACATTATCTTTTCCCATCTCAACAACACCAGTTGTCCTAATGTCCCCACTATCACTTTTGTTATCCCTTCACTCTCACCTCCAGAAGGCTGCCAGATCCCCAGTGAGTCTCGGCAGAGATAAGTGGTGGCCCTACAAGAGGGCCTGGCCACTCTTCACTGAGTAGACTGTCCTGTACACTGCAGGATGTGCAGCACCCCCAGGCCTCCCTAATGCTGGCGGTGTACTCAAATCATTGTGACAGCCAAAATGTGCTTGCATGTTTCCAAATGTCTTCTGGGGTTGGCTGTAATGTTTCTGTTGAGAATTACTGTTAATATAATATTTTTTGGGAAAAAAATCCACCCCATCCTTGTTTAAATCCTTTAATGATAAAAACAAAATAAAAACCCGAAATGAATGTTTCTATGACTTCACATTTTACTTAGGATAAATTCAAACTATTAAGCCTGATCTTCAGACCCTGCTCACCTCCTCCTTGCTGATTGTGTTCCAGCCACCCTGACTTTGTCTTCCACCTCAAGCTCAGGCCTTCTGAGGGCCTTTTCTCCATATGCTGGTTTTGTCTGACAGGACTGTCCATCCCTTCCCTTCTCTTGAATCCTAATTTTCACATGGTGGCTCCTTCCCTGCCTTCAGGTCTCAGCTTATCTATCACTTCCTCAGACAGCCTCCCTTGATCCTAATCACTGGAGTCAGAATCAAGCTCTACCACATTCTTAACGTGTATTTGTAAGAACCAAACTGTGATTATGTAAAGTGTTATAGAGCCTAAATCAGGATACTTGTTATTGACATTTGTTATCATTATACAAGCTCTGAATTTTCAGTCACAAATATCAGTGTGGAAACTATAACTTTTTATAACTGAACTCAATTTAAGTTCCCATTTTGCCTAGTGCATAAACTTAATCTAGTTATTTCCAGGTAAATCCATTCTGCCCCAGATAAATGCAGGAATTTCAGGGTTAAAGGTCAGTGTTTACTTTTCCCCACCTCCTTCCTCTGGATGGGAGAGCTCAGCCATCCCAGGGCAGAGGTGATGGACAGGGCCATGTTCTTACTAAATCTGGGCATGTGGGAGGCATGGGGCTCACAATTATTTTGACATCTACATGTCTCCATCAGACCCTAAGCCCCCCTCCTGGCCATTTGCAAACTCCAGATGCAAAAACTTTGGCTGCTTCCCCTCACCACTCATGGGGTTTTGTCTCAGGTCCTTTGGTGCCTAGACACACAGAGTACCATTCATCTATTCCCACTGCCAAATGATGCTGCTTCAACTGGTGAGGAGGAATGCTTTGGGGCTTTCTAGAAGCTTGTCTCCTTGTCACTGGGCCTTGTGCTGCATCCTGGAGCTCTAACATAAGATTAGAAATTTAGGTCAAATAATGTGAAGCCTGATTGTCTTGGAATCCTGAGTTGGCTGCCTGCCTAAGTAACTCATTGTGCAGATCTGTCCAGTGGCTGGGCTTGGACACTGGGTGGGGCTGATGAGGCTTTATTGCCAACCGTGTGGAAAAGCAGAAGCTGCACATCCACCTGGCTCTCTGAATGAGGCTCCTCTCTCTGAGGAGTCCACTGACAGACTTGACAGGTTTATCCAGGATGACTGATTCATCTCTGAAACCTGTAATTAATTTGCCTGGCAGGTTTGCTGTCCCTATTTGACAGATGGAGCATGTGAGACCCAGAAACCTTAAGGGAGGTGTCTGAGGATGTACCATTAGTAAGCAGCAGGGCTGAAATTTATCTGTCCCGTTCTGATGCTGGTGCTTATGTTCTCCATTCCTCTGCTGCTCAATATCAATCTCTGAAAATTTCCTTCTTTTATTTTCTTCCTTTCAGTGTGACAATGAGATAGCTCTAAGGGGCTTGGGAAAACTGTTTTGCCCTCCAAATATATATGTCTTCTATGTAAGACTCTGATAAGAATTATTTAAATAATATGTTCATGGAGATTTCCCCCTCCTTTCAAAATTTCTTCCATTGAAGTTGGGTGGCTGAAGTTTACTGGTGTACAAATGGCACAATTTATGTAATGTTTGTCAGATCTGCTAGTCATCAGAATTATCCAGGGAGCTTTTGAAAAAATACTTGTACCTGGGCCCACTCCAGAGTTCTGGCAGGGGTGGGGTAGAGGGAAATCTGTTTTTAACAATCTCCTCCCTACCCCACAGTTTAGGTAGCTTTACTGATAAAGAGGACAGAGCCCTGGCCTATGACCTTGGAGTCCTGGTTTCCTATCTGGGGTCTGTCAGTGACTTGCTTCATGATTTCAGTTAAGTACCTTCTTCTGCATCAGCCTTTGTTTCCCCAACTATCAAATAAGGGGTACTGGAATAAATCAGATGTCCCAAACTGGTGTCCTGTAGGATTGATTTTGCTTGCATATGTGTTTTACTTGAAGTGTGAACAGAGGTGATATCAAAAATACCTCAGGAGTATGGTCCAGATGCTGATCCAGCCACTCAGATGCTTGTTGTGGTGCTGAAACAGGATCCCCAAGGTGACCTAGTGGTTAGGTGTTAACCCTTTAGTTGCTGGATGATAGAGCAGTCTGACAGGTTCTGTGGCAGGCCAGGGGTGTCAGGGTTGTGGTGAGGGTCATTTGGAAGGCCTGGAATAATGACTGCTTACTAGTTTAAATGTGAGAATTTCACTATCTTAACAACCCCTACAGCAGAGCTGCTGAGTACCAGCTGACCATCAGCCTAACCTGTAGTGATCCCATTATTATTATTCATTATTATTATTTGGTTTTATTATTTTGAAACTATTTGTTATCAATATTTAAGAACAGGGAATGTTTTCCTTATAAACCTAAATATACAGCTTCTCTTGAAAACAAACCTGGCAACACTGGATGGGAACCTCTGCTTGGCAACCCAGAAGTGGTTGCTCCCTTGAACCCCACAGGTTCCTTCTAGGTCCTGACAGAACCCAATCAGCCATTTCATTCATTCACACTCCTTGCTGGCTATTAAACATATTTAATTTTGTGATTCCTTGACTATTAAGATCCTTTCTAGCCCTGCAGCTTGATGGCTTCTGATTCTTTTGTTCTTCAATCCCATTCCTGAATGAGGTGAAATGGGCAGGCAGTAGGGGCCATACTAAAAAACTGGGCCCTGTAAGGAGCCAGTGATTTTAAGGTGAGATTGAAACCTCTTAAAGTTGATGACATCTCTTTAAGCTATAAATTACCCCCTGTCATGAGCTGGGTGAGGCAGGCCTTTGGCACAGATTAATCCCAAGAATGTTTCATTAAAATATCTTTATAGGCGGAGGCTCAAGATGGCAACATGAGTAGGGCAGTGAAAATCTCCTCCCAAAATGATATATATTTTTGAAAATATAACTACGCCTAAAAGAGAGAACAGAAGATACAGTACAACAGCCAGGCTACATCTACATCTGCAAGAATTCAGCATTTCATGAAAAGGGTTGACCTGGTGTGACCTGAGCATTCCCCCTACACCAGCTCACCAGCGGGAGGAAAATAATCAGAGTGGGGACGGAGTGGAAGAACAGGACTGCTAAATAACCACCTCTAGTAATCTGTACTGGAAGTACAGACACACATTGAATGGTGTACTGGTTATTAGAGAAATGGAAAGGTAAAATCTGAGATGGAGACTGTGAGCTGGTATCCACAGCTGGCTCCCCTGGGACAAAAGAAAAGTGGATGCTTTTTGAAAGTCTTAAAGGGACAGGGGCATAACAGCTGCATGGAATAGTCCTGGCACATTCAGCCCAGCAGGCTGGGAATCCTAAGGAACTTCAGGCACCCTAAACCCCTGGTGGGTAACCAAGCCCCAAAGCCCCTCATGGCAATAAGAAGCCTGCCATTCATTACCCTCAGCTGGTGCTGCAAGCAAACTGGCTGACCCACCACAGTGGCAGAGCAGCCAGAGAGCAGCTGGCCCACAGCAACCACCCAGAGTCTCTTCCCAGTGCACAGCTAACTGCGACAGACCCAGAGGCTGATGCTGGTGTGTAGCTGCCCAGCATAGACAGAGGAAGCTGGAGCAAGGCCCAGAGGGCATGAGGGGTGCCTTTCTCGCAGGAGAACACACCCGGCATGCCTCACTCCCCGCAGGGCTCTGGGCTATCTCGAAGGGTACTCCACTC